GGCGGGGGTGGGGTGGGAAAGGAATATTTTGCTTTTCACATCTGGGAAAGTAGGGAATTCTCAAAATACTTTCTCCATAGCAGAACTGTTCCTGAGTTTAAATTGCAAAAAGTGAACATAGTAGTAGGATGAATTATTCTTACAGAACCTCCCCCCACCAATGTTCTCATCCAAAGCGTTTAGAGTAAGCTATCTTCCCGATTCTCAGCAGGCACTTTGATTAAATGGAAAAACCAATGAAAGCATCCCAAATGTCCCATCCCCATGGTACATCAAGTTTACTGAATGCAGAAAGGGCAATTTTTCTATGATTTTGTTATTACAGTGCCTGACTTCTGACACAGCTTAATGCAGACTTGATATAGTAGAACAGTTCTTTAAGCTGAAAAAGAAGGCCAGAAAAAAGATTTAAGCCCTAAGGAAATAACAGTAACAAACCATTTATATCTATACTGCATATCATACTGACAAATAATATTATCAAGATATCAGAAGTATTTTACACAGAGCATTAAATATGAAAATAGCTAGAAGCACAGTTTATCTTAAAAAAATCGATGTTGAGAAGACATAAAAAACCCTAAAAAGGTATTTAAGGTTATTTGAATAGAAGAAGGGTGCAATAAGAGATTTAGAGACAGTGGGTCAGCTTGGTGGTCCCTTTCTCATTTCTAAGCCTCTTGATGAGCCATCCTTCCTGTTTTGTAGGTCCCAGAGTCACTACATGTATTTCAGCAAATTAAGTGATGTAATAGGAAAGGATCTGTACAACAAAACAACGTGTGCTGAGGATCTGCTGTCCACCCTATTTAGGCTTGAGGGCTTACATCTCGCAATTTATTTGCATCCAGAAGAAATCCAGGTTTAAAATCCAGCACTGCTCTGGAATGCAAACAAAGCATGGGTAGGGGTAACTGAGAGATTCACTTCAAATGCACACTCTTGATCTGAACTAAAATGTTCGCACAGACCCATCTAGAGAGTACAACAAGGAATGCGCCTTTCTCTGCGTGCAGCGGTGACTTCACTGGAAAAATAGATTGCCCTTTATGCTTCCTATAACCCAAGAAACTTTATGCTTCCTAACCCAAGAAACTTGGGTTGCCCTACAGTGGCTCATCAGTGCATGTAGAATATTCTATTAAAGAGCACCTATGAGATTTAGCTGAATTATTTGACTTGTAGGACTTCTTCCCCTACAAATATGACATCCTGAGACAACTACTTTCTCTTGCACTTGTGAAGCACTCCCAACTACAGTATTGTAATTTTTTGCTCAAAAAAGCAGCCTAGACACCCTTATCTGTACTTCGAGGTCCTTTTCATTTTAGGAACACAGTATGTCAAACCCAGACTGATAAACCCTACTAGACTGGTAAGGGCTCTGAGAAGGAACTCTTTCTGTTGTCTTCTGATATAGCCTATAAGGCAACTTTATAGACTGAGCCTGGACTTACAAGAGCTCATGACAAAGAGACAGTAAGAGCTGGCCCTGCAGTGTCAGGAAATACCAGCTGCAGGGCTTTTGCACTGTCCACAGCCTTCCAGGCTTACATTATTCTAGACAGAGACTCTTCTCCTACCTTGATCTTTGCTGACCCTCCTCCAGACATTGCATCTCAATTCCCTGTGTTGTGACTTCAAAATTCAGTTTTCCTAAACTGATGGGAAATATATATCTAGAATCATGTCTGACTGCAGTTTTTAGTGGGAGAGTGGTCTAGTCATGTATGACAGATCTCCATTCCTTCAACTGAAAAAGGATGCTGGAAAGAAGTAGAAGAATAGGGAAGACTTCATCCTAGCAAGAAGCTTAGCATTTCTGGCCATCTTTGCAGCTTTATTTGTAGTAGTGTGTTTGAAGTTGTATAACTGGGAATTCTTTTCCAAGGAATGCAGTAGTTTTCATATTCTCAGACTCACAACTGGGAGCCATCAATATTCAATGATGACTCATTGAACATTGATGACTCATACACACAGACACATATACACACTAGGAGAGCTTTAGGCTAAAGGGCTTACCCAAATGTTTCCCTATCAAAAACGAGAGGATTCATAACCCTAACAGCTATAAAGAATTTACATGAAAAGTGCAATTAGGAAAATAAAGGAAATGTGAAACTTTGCCCGCAGGCCTTCAAAAAAATAATTCAACAGGGACTCTAATGTTCACTAATGTAATGACAGATTAAATTCTTCATTCCCGATTTCAGTACCTGGTTATTATCAGTAGGGATGCTCAATGAAGACAGGATCTTTGGATTCTAAAAAGATTGTCTTTTCCTATTGTTTGTGGCTACTTGGAAGTGGAGTCCCTGCATGTTTCACAGCTGGTGGAGAGGGTTAACAAATTATGAACTTACACAGAAAAAGAGGAACCCAGAACCACCTAGTTTTTTAAGGCACAGCTCTAATCAAAGAACAAGTATATTTTCTCTCTGTGTTCTTTTGTTCCTAATATCCTTTTTCCCATTTAGATTATAATTTTGAGGAAGCTGAAACTTCATTTTTTCATGTATCTTCACTGGTTGTTATATTTTTCTTGACACCATAAGATATTTAATTACATTGAACTTCTCCAATGATGAAATTATCTAAGCTGAAAAATGAAGTGCTCAAAAGTTAGGAAGTAACAGATTTGTAGTTTTCTCTGAAATCTTACAGAATCTCTTTCCGTATCCATCCTGATCATTGAGGAGGACAGGGATTTGGTGGAAAAAAAATATGTAGCTAGCTTGTATTCTTGTAAATACACACAGGAAAACAGCTGAAATTGCACAAGCTATTATAAGTGCAATAAGGAATGTTAGAATTGTTATTTTGCAAAATTAATTTTTTTTTCTGACATAATCTTTAATGCAAGTTGCAATTTACAAAAGACACTGTTAAAACGAACTTTATTGTGCAAAATGTTAAAAACACTGCCTCCAAATATCAACACAGTTGTATGCTTAAAGTGAAGACTGGAGGATTGACTCTTAGAATTTTTATTTCAAAACCACCTACATTTACTGGAATGTCAAGTATGTGCCATATAAACTTGCTTAAGCAGAAGTCAAATTTTGTCCCAGCCCCACCATTCTCCTTTGTTTGTATAAAGAAGACTTAGTTATTGCTCCATATAAAGAAAGGCAGAATGGATACATACCTAGAATACAGCTCCTAAATAATTTTTCTTTTAATTTTAACCTTCTTTCTGCTGCTACTTCATTTACTAGAAAATGAAACTTCCGTGAAAATAATACAATATTTTAGTGATAATATGCCCCTGGATTTAAATTCTTAAGTGCATACCTAATTGTTATATTGGCATAGGTTAAAAGTATTTCAATCAATGCACACAAAAGAAAATGTGATTTTCAATTTGCTCAAACTGTCACTGTTTGAATGGAACAACAACAAAAAAACATCTTTAGCCAAAGAACAAGCTGAATCTCAATCTGGTTCTGCATCTGTTAAGGAACTGTTGATAAAGTTCCAGTCTTCATTGTTTTTCTGGTTGAGCATGAACAACTGACAGTTTAAGCAAACAATATTTCAACTTGTCAGCTAAACAAAAGTGATAAGAAAACTTAGGTATGTCCTTGTAATTTATTTTTTTAATTGTAAATTCATTTTAACAAATTCATCCAGAAATCACATTAAATTATTCTGCTGCAATGTTACTTTCAAAACAAAACCAAGAAAACAACACCACATTCAGAGAGTTTCACTGGTGCCAGATCCCCTGTCCTGATTACATTCAGGGGAATCTATGGGCTCTTGTAGCTAATAAACTATACTGGAAGACTGAAAGGAAGCTTGAAGCTTCAGAGTTCACCCCACCACTGTACAGTTGTGCTCCCATATTATCCACACAAACCAAACAACTTCTAAACAGTGTATCTTTTCCCTCTGGAATTAAGCAGAGGCCAAGTACTTTGAGCTACTTTGTTGTTTGGGGCTTTTTTGTAGGCTACAGCATCCTTCAGCTCCCATTAGAAATTTCAATTTTCTTCTCCCCCTCCCCTCCGCCCCCCACACATATGAATGGCCTACACTGCTATTTTCCTCAGTTATGGTTATGCACGAAAAAAAAGTGAATCTGTTCAACCAGGGAAATATTCCTCAAACATTTTCCCTTTCCCTTAAAAACACCCCAAAGAACACATCAAAGAGGGAAAAAAGGTTTTGCAGCATTGTTTTTTTTTTGTGGTATTGCTAAACTAACAGCACATATATTGCTCTATATAATTCTCTGTGTTTCTGATCATTTTCCTCTTAAACTTGTAAAGATCATGTGCCTTTCACCTGTGCCCTTTTGTTAAAGACCATACAGTACATGATCCCAAAAGGTAACACAGGAATATCATGTCAGATTAACCTATTATAGCTCAAACAGGCAAAGAGGGCCTTCTGTGAACTGTATGGGAAGCTGGAGAGGAGCAATGAGTTAAGATGAAGATAAATTGCGAGCAAGGTCAAACATATCTCTAGGTGCCCTGAATTCTGCTGCTTTAATTATCTGTCTAAACATTCCAGGAGTGCAGTTCTCTATGGGCTGAATTTCTAGCACAAGGAAAATCTGACTCTCCTCAGCAGTTCTTATGTGAAATTGTCAGCAGTATTTCACATAGGAACTTGCACCACAAAACTCTCTAGCTCCCGAAAAGCACATAATCTGTAATTACATCATCTAAACTTTGTCTGCACTAGTAAACAAGCAGGGTCAGGGCAGGGGCTTCAGCAATATCTTATGGTTTCCTATGCTTTTTCATTGTTAGCATGGTCCCCATCAGTTCTGATCTGTGCCAGTCAGCCCTCTGCCAAAAAATCCCCTGGCACAGATTGCAGGGTCAGAGCACCCCAGAAAGTAGTCTGGATACAGCTGCATGCCTGATGTGGGGAAAAGGAGACAAGTCCCTGATTTCTCCACTCCCTGAAGAGATAGCCCTAATATTGATGGATTGTAGAGCATCTGGAAGCAAAGTTAAAGGGTATCGTGTTCCTTTGTGCACGAAGGACACAAAAAGGAATTTAGGCCCAAATTTCCACCATGGATCCATGATGCTCTGCTTGCTTTAAGACATAATTTAAAAGGGACTATGTGCTGAATGATTCCTCTCTGGTATGTTCTCTGAATCACCATTATGCACCATCAGGTCATTTGTTCTTCACTGGAAGGGAATGTGTCTCATACCTGACACCCAATGCTTCTTAAGAGTTTTATGTTAAACTATCCTCCTTCCTCCCAGATGACTAATACAGGAAAAGCTTTTCATTTCTTTTCAGAAGCAGTGAAGCATTAGACTTGGATGCTTCAAAAAACAAGCAGACAACAAAAGTATGCACAGACCTTTCACTGGGGGTGCATGAAATCAATATAATGTCCTTTTAACTTGAGATATTTTATATTTCAGCATTATAATCTTAGAATGGAAAACCAGTCCCTATGGGAAAGGCCACACATGCTGATTTGCAATAAGTGAGTATTAACTTCAATTTAATACAATTTTAAATCAAATTACAACTATTCCTTTCCTGTAATGGACATTAGTAATTATTATATCAATAATTCTTACCTCTCCCACAACTTCCAACCTGCTGGCATCATCAGAGGTACTGGTCAAGTTACCATGGTGAAGCAGGGAGTCATCATCTTTGGAAGGGCTGTTCACACCTTCTAACTCATCAAAAAAAATGTTGACATCCTTAGCTACTAAAAACAAAAATAAAAATACCAAATAAAAATATTCGAATTACCATTGAACCAAATGAAGACATCCAGTGTAACATTTACCAACAATCACACTTTTTAGTTCTGGTATAAGTATACACTATGTAAGTTTAAAATCTGATGCACGTTGGCAGAATGCTTTTTTCACAAGTGAGACACCTAAAGATCTAGGATATCACAACACCTCTTTGATGACAAATAAGTAATCTTCTTGATACATTAGTATCTCCTAGCTTCTCTTGGGCTAAAAGGCTTAAGCTAATACTTCTGGATTAGCACAGTCCCTGAAAATTTCCTATTATAAAGAAACATATTTTTAACCTAGGACACAAAATATCAAGTTAGAAGTTGTATCAACCTATGGGGCAGCCAGAGACAGAAGATGTCAAATAAATACTGTTACTTGAAACACATTCAATAAATGAAGCTGGGCAGAAGTTTGTCTTTGCACAGTTTGGCACGTTTTGATGCATATAAATCTGACACATTCAGATCCACCTACCGCACAGCCCTGAGTCATGCATGAAGACTGCACTACAACAAACCACTACGAAGAAGAGGTGGAAGCACTGGACTGTGTCCAGAGAAGGGCAACAAAGCTGGTGAAGGGTCTGGAGCACAAGTCTTATGAGGAACGACTGAGGGAACTGGGGTTTAGCCTGGAGAAGAGAAGGCTCAGAGGGGACCTTGCCACTCTCTACAACTACCTGAAAGGAGGTTGTAGTGAGGTAGGGCTGGTTTCTTCTCCCAAGTAACAAGTGATAGGACAAGAAATGGTCTCAAGCTGAGCCAGGGGAAGTTTAGATTGGATATTCGGAACAATTTCTTCACCAAAAGGATCATCAAGCACTGGAACAGGCTACCCATGGAAGTGGTGGAGTCACTGTCCCTGAAGGTATTTAAAAGACATGTAGATGTAGCATTCAGGGATGTGGTCTAGTGTCCTACTGCCCAAGCCTTCCCCCTGGTTCAGGCAGTGGGACAGATCCAGGCTGCCAGGCCCTGCTCTGGCACAGCAGTACCCTGAAGGGAGATACCTGCTTTAGCAAATGGGTTGAATTTCCTCCACCTTTCATGCAATGCCGTGTCATGTAATAATTTTACCCTAATTAAAAAAAAAAAAAATAATGAAAGAAATGAGTTAAAGGTTGGCACCATACTCAAGATTAGAGCAGCGTTAGCCTTAGGATGACATTCCTTGCTCTGCTGAGCAAGGAGGCAATGAGAAGCTGTAGGCAGCACTGCTGTGCAAGTCTAGGGTCCCTCATAAGGGCCATTGATCTGCTGACTGAGTGGCTGTTGGATGGGAGACGCAGGGCATGCAGGCTGCAGGCAGTGAGATCCACCTTTGCATCTGTCCTGGGTTCAGCTACAGCAGTCATTTTTTCTCCTTCTTAGTAGCTGGTGCAGTGCTGTGTTTTTGACTTTCAGTCTGGGAACAATGCTGATAACACCGATGTTTTTAGTTGTTGCTCAGTAATGTTTACTCTGACCAAGGACTTTCTCAGTCTCATGTTCGGCCAGAGAGGAGGGGAAGCCAGGAGGAAGCAGAGGCAGGACCCCTGACCCAAACTGGCCAAAGGGGTATGCCATACCACAGCACGTCATGCCCAGTATAGAAACTGGGGGGAGTTACCCGGAAGGCCCAGATCGCTGCTTGGGGCAGGCTGGGTATCGGTCGGTGGGGGGTGAGCGGTTGTGTCCTTTTCCCTTGTTATTCCTCTTATCATTATTATTGGTAGCAGTAGTGGTTTGTATTATACCTTAGTTACTGGAGTGCTGTTATCTCAACCCGTGGGAGTTACATTCCTTCGATTCTCCTCCCCATCCCTCCGGGAGTGGGGGGAGGAAGGAAGAGGGGGGGGGAGTGAGCGAGCGGCTGCGTGGTTCCAAGTTGCCGGCTGGGCTTAAACCACGACAGCATCTCATATGCCCCTGCACATCTGGTGCGAGAGGGTGATGAAGAGATGTGTGTGAGGAGAAGAGAAACGTGTTGGCTGAGGACCAAGCTTCAGCTGTGGATGGACTTCATCTTTCCAACGTCATGTTTAATTAACAAAATCCAGAACTACAACAATAGAGTTGTAACTGTTCGAAGGGACCCCCAAAAGCCAGCGACTGAGCCTCTTCTCCTGACGAGAGTAGGATCTAATACCTATTACTCTTGACAGAAATTTGTCTAACATGTTATGCCTCATGTTTTAGCAAACTCAACTGGCTTTTGGAATCGTACTTCTTTTGTGCAATAACCTTCTGATCCTTTTTTAGCCTCCTTAACTTAGTGACAGACAGTTGTAATTCCTGTGGACAAGAATTTATATTAACAAGGAATAGACAAAAATCTCTAATTGCTGGTCACAGCTTAGTTCCATTTCTAACTACTGAAGGTATAAAAATCTATCCCTCTACTGTGGAGAGACCGAATAGCTGCCAGAAATTAACAGTCATTAACTGCTGCCAGCCATCACGAGTGTCTTGTGATCTCCTTTTCATCTTTCCCTTCTTCAGAGGCTATAGCTCAGTTTAAGAAATCTTTTTAAAAGATCTCTGATGCTACTGACTCCACAATCTCTACAGGTGGCCTATTTTTCACTATCAGAAGCAGGAGAAAGTTTTCTTCATAATACTCGTCCTAAATATGCACCTATGCTGCAATTTAAACATGTTATTCTTTTCCTGTCAATCACAAACACGGGGAAGAGATTGCTCCCTTTTTGTACGTCTTTTACAGTATATTAAATGCGTTATTACAGCTGTAGAGAGATAAAAAAAGAAAACCCTATCAAGATATTCAAGAACTCTTCTTCTTCATTTTCATGCATAAAATAAGGACAAGCTTAATGACATACATTGTGTTTCTGGTTGCAATACTTTTGCTTAGAAAGCCACTAAAAATTTCAGAAACAACAGAAAAGTCTTCATGTCAAATTAATCCACTCTAGCTGCTAGGCCAATGAGCTAACCTAAGCAAAATAATTTTTAATAGAGATTCTGAGCTTTAATACTTCTAACAGTATTTTTATTTTTATGTAGACAGCATAACAATAATAAATTCTGCCAAATTAACAGTTTTCAGGATAATATACTACTCCTTGTGTTTAGTAACTCTGGGTTTGCATACTGATTAACCTAGCTACCATTCTTTGTACCTCAGTATTAATATTGCACAATATTTAATCCCTACTTAACACTTCATATCATAGTTCATCAGTTTTAGATATCACCCTCTGTTCTGCAGGATCCCAACCAGCTTTTATAGAGTTATTGAGAGTAATAGATTCACCCACTTCATTCTCTTTTATATTGTGTGCAACATCCTAGTCCGTGAACAGATCAGAGATCTAAAACCTCCTTTGTTTGCAGTTATCAATTTTTTCTTGCCACTTTAAGGCTGTTTTTACTAGCGGTCCATTTATTTTACTTTTGTGAAAAGTGCTGGAATATCATTAAGGACAAACATCTAGGATGGAGTTTCTCACTTTAAATATAGATTTAGACTCACACCATCCTGTTCCCAGCTAGGGGTGTACTTACTGACAGGACTGGAGAAGAGCATCCAAACCAAAACGTGTATGTGATGGGGAGAGCCAACAGTTCCTCAGTGTCACTGTGGCTGTACCCAATCTGTCTTAGGACAAACTGCAGAGGTTTTAGGAAACTTAGAAGGCAAAAAACAGACTCCAATTTTTAGCACATGCAGCAATAATATTAAAGAATTATTTTCCACTCTGACCCATTTTAACCCACAAAATCTCATACTAGAGATCCTCATAAAAGACAGGGGAACTGCTGCAAGGCAGCACAGTCTAATTGCCTGCCCTTCACCATCCCTATTGTTTCAAAGAGCAAGACTAGAAGCATTCCATTCTATCCTGGATAGTAATAATCCTGGATAGTAATAATAACTTGGATGTTGATTGTGATCAGCTTTTGCATACAAGTTCACATGAGAAGAATTCATCTTGAATACGCAACAGAAAGAACTACTGAAACAGAAAACATTCTGCATGACCTGAAACTTCACTGAACTGAAACCCAGCAGAATGCCTCCATGAGAGCAACACATGATCCTATATATGATCAACACCTCAATATAGTCTGAAAACAACTGTGGAAAATACAAAAATAATTAAATAGTGAAGGTTTCTGAAGATTATGCATGATATATGTCTGTTGCAGAGGCAATGGAAGATGTAAAAATGGAAGTTTTGCCTGCATGCTATGCCCAAGGGAATTTGAACTAACTTTTACCTGCCGTTAAGGCTGCCTTGGTAATAAAGACGAAGACTTTGAGATATTAGAATTGCTGCTTTCTGAAGTGCCAGTAATGCTTTAGGTTGCAAAATATGCTGAAGTGAGTGTTTTGCAGTACACAACTTAGTGTGTAAGAGAGTGAACGCGTCTGGGGGTTTCAAGCAGAGAATTACCAAATTATTCTGAAGACTTGTGAGAAGCAAAAAATCTTATCTCAAGGTCACGTTAAAATCCAACCCATCTCAGCAGTTTCTAGAAGCTGTGGAAGCAGTGAATCACAGCATTAATGAAATTAGCTACAGGACCTGTCCAGATTTCCTGTAGCAGAAAACTGCTTCTATCACAAGTACAAAGGCAACTGGCATGCTGGTTGCTAGCTGCAGCAAGTAGGGTAACTAGTAAAGAAATATGCTGAGCTACCTCATCAGCGTTAAAAGTGTCTGTCACCTTTCTCCAGTTGCAGTAAAGGTGTGCTGCTGGTGAGAAAGTTGAGCTCTTTACACGGTGTTTTTTACACAATTGCCTTGCTGCGTGCGTTTTTGACAATACACTCTTAGTATTGCAGTCACTGACACTAAACGTGGAGACCTAACATTTGCTGAGACCATTTTTCTACCTCAAGTCTCATTGGGTACGTAAAAAAAAATAAATCATAAAATACTGCTCTGCAAATATAAATAAATAATTGAAAAAACAAATCCTGTTTCCTTTACTTTAATAAGGTTGATGGTACTTCCTAGCCAACTCTTCTGCAGCCTGTAGCTAGCTCAGCCACTCCACTCCAATAGACATGAATACCTACACAGCCAAATGTTGCTAAAGGAATAATCAGGGCTCCAGCTTTTCTGTCGCTTCAGATCATGACATGCATATATCCACAAATGACCTTAACAGAATGATATGTAGTAATTTTATCATATATATTCTAGAGACAGACTGCTGCTAGTATATAGACATGTTTTTTTAAGCAGTGAAATTTAACAGGAATAGAGAGCATCACGCACATTGCCACAGGAGATATTAAGAATTTTCCCTGGGTTTAGATCAGCTTAAATATTCCATCTCTTTTCTCCCCTTTATGTTCTTTTTTGTGGAAAAACTTCAAAAGACTTAATAATTCAGAATCCCTTGAGGATTTGAAACAAATGTGGATATACAGATATTTTCATCCCAAATATAGTAAAACCACATATTCTGAAAACTGAACGCTGGGAAATTCTGGGTGAGAGTCCCTACATAATTTCAGTGGTTCCACAATCCACTTGGGACCAAGAGGCTGATTTAGGTAGGGCTCAAAGATAAATCCTTTACCGTTCTCAAGATGGACACTCAAAAACTGACGTGCCTTTAGGCTTTAATTTAAAAATGGGACCTGACTACGGTTTTGTGTGGCTCAGAGATCACGTTTCTGTTTGTTAAAGGTTATTCTATTACCAATTGTCACACCATGTCATCAAGTATACCCTAGCTTTGGATAATGCAAGCTGAAGATAAATATTTCAGAAACTGCTCTTTGGAAGCTTTTAGGATTATCAGTGACATTGAAAAGTGAATTTCCTTAAAAATTCTTACTGGAACGTTTACATATTAATAGTGGTGGAAAATGTTTGGGTTTAAAAGCACCAACATTGGAGAATCTCCTTAATAAAAATACTGCGTAGAAAATATATTTAACAGAGACTTGCAAAGCAGAATACTTTGAGTATGAAAAAACAGTAAGCTTTCTGTGTCTTGTTGTACATGTTATGCTTTTACAGTAGCACCCATTTGGACTTTTTGATACAAACGTTTTTCTGCACTCAGTAAGGCTGGCAGATACAATTCACAAATCTTTACTCCAAGAAGGCTACCCTACAGATGCCACACAGCCCAGAACTTTTCATCATGTTAAATGCTAAATTCAGTAACTACACAGTGAATCAACAACCCTGTCTCATGAAGCTCACTGATTTTTGGCTTCCAGATTATGAGAACAAAAATGAGAGAATCAAATTTTTTTTTATTAAATCTAGTGAGACTCAATGTAAATTGGATTTTGAAAAAATATTCTAGAAAGCCACAAATTTCTTAGAATTTTAACTTTACTGCAATGTCAAGTTGCATATGTTGAAGCAAACTATAGAAACTAATGACAAAAGTTTGAAATCTGAGCACTTTTTTTAAAATTTTAATAAAGTTATTTACTGCTTTTCCACAAGAAGTCCATCTTCTCAGTGTAATAACTGGGAAAAAAAAGCTGTGAAAGCCTTTGCTAGCTTTTGCCATGTCCCTAAGGGCACCCCCAGCCCTGACTGTCCCTGCCTGGACCACCAGGTTTCTCCCACCCTGCCCAGAACCCAGGACCATTTCAGCCCCCAGGACCAGACACTGCTGCACTGATACCCACAGCAGGATCAGTCTCCATCTCCCCACAGCCCTGCTATGTCTGGCCACGGCCCCACTGCACCAGGGAGATACCTGATGACCAGGGCCAGTGCTGCCCCCAGTGCTGCTCTGCTCCTGGCTGGGGTAGTGACATGAGTACAGGCTGTGAGTAGGCAACATCAGGTCAGTGAGAAACTGAACATGCATCAGTAGTGTGTGCTTGCAGCCCAGAAAGCCAACTGTATAAAGGGCTGCATCCAAAGGGGTGAGGCACTGGAAGAGGTTGCCCAAAGAAGTGGTAAATGTCCTATTCCTGCCAGTGTTCAAGGCCAGGTTGGACAGAGCCTTGGGCAACATGGTCTAGGGTGAGGTGTCCCTACCCATGGCATGGGGGTTGGAACGAGATGATCTTAAGGTCCTTTGCAACCCAAACCATTCTATGATTCTATATGTCAACTAGCTAAAATTGTGCAAGGCACCTCCTGAATAGGGAAATACTCAGGAAACACACGTTAGCAAGAAAAAAAATAATGTAGTTTTTAAAAGTATCATTACCTTTTTTTGAATTTTCATTCAATGCTAACAAAAACTGGGAATAAAATGACTATTCAGAGCAACCACCCTAGAAAGAGTATTTAGGCATGTTTATCCTAAGTATTCAATATTCATAACAGAGTGCAGGTGACAAGACACTCCCCTAGACCCGTAACAAGCCTAGGTTGTACAGTCATAGCAACCCTTTTGTCTTTCCAGAAGAAAATGTAGCTGAAGTACACAGAGATGAACTTCCCAATAGCAACTGTGTCTGGTCTGGATAAATTAAAAACAGTCTCCAAGGCTGTAAAAACTGTACAATGGCTTGCACAATAATCTATAAATCAAAGTATCAATTCTTAAAAGACTCTTTATTTAATGCTATTTAGTTTTGAATTTATATTAAAATTGCTAAAACTGGGAGACTACTTCTATTCAGTTTATATCCATTAATCACTTGCAAATATTTGTTTTTACTTAGGGTAGAAATCACCCACATTTACACATCCGCAGCACGGATGTTTGTGTCTAAGGTGTGGTATCAATTCAAGTTAAGTTTATCTTCCTAAATTATGTCTACAGGCAACAGAGGCAAATGGCCACTTCCAACTTTGAGGTCATCTATTCTAGATTAGACACCTACTTTAAAATGAGACAAACTGGGCTGTAGACATGCTAGTTACATTCTGTTCATTGCAAAGGGAGCTTAGACAATGACTTCAGATCTCAATACCTTCACTGCAAACCCCTTTGTTCAAGTCAGATGAATGCCTTCTTTATGGCCACAGAAAATTAGCCTACCTTTAAAAAAGAAACTAGGGGTTTTATATAGAAGTTTAACATTTGAAGTAATAAGCAAACCTATGCCCTGTTGAATGAAAATTTGGGGTTATTCAGTACAGGGATATAAACAGAGTGTATGACATTGAGATATGATGCAATACCAACAGAACTGAGATATGGTCATGTTTAAAAAAGAAGCTATTTTGGACAAACACCAGTAATAAATCTAATCTTGACATCTAATTGTTTTAAACAAATCATCTATTTTTATTCTCCTCAGTCATATGCTTGGAACAGAGAAGATAACTGTTTCCTGTATGCCAAAATGGTCTCTTCCCAACTTGAATTTTCTTGTCCTTGTTTACCTATCTTGTCCATTCAGCCTCTGAAAAACTATAGTGCCTTTTCAGCCTCTGTAGTCCACATCCCAGTGGCACCCAAGCCTGTATCTGGGCTGTGTGGGTGCAGAGAATAGAGGAGAAGGCAAAATCTCATATTAAGATTTCCTGATAGGAAAAGCTTTTAAAGTTACAAAACACAAGGTTGACCCTAAACCTACAGTTTAAATAACAAGGTGATTCAATTATCTCTGTCATCATGATGCTAACCTGAGAGTTTTCCTTCCACCTCCAAACTAATACTACCACCAAACAACTTGATGCTACCACTGTATTGTTCCTTATTCATATGACAAAAACAGGGTGGAGTGCAGGGTTTTATATGTTCTTACACATCTTTTGTCATTCAAGAATATAAACTGCTGTTTCTGACTTTAGAAAATTGCTACACAAAGCACCCGGATTAAAATAAAACTGGAAAAGAAGGAAACCAGAAAGCCATGCCACACATTTTGATTCTTGCCTGCATAAGAGTTTTCAATCTATTATGGAAAATTTCCTCTGAAATTACAGATTCTTTTGGATTCCAGAATTGCATCAGTTTTGAGAAGGAGGGATGTCTTCCACTGATGTTAACAGTAGTAATTCTTCTAGCACAAGTCTTCAGTTTATTCTGCAGTTGGATTTAAGAAGGGTGGACAGATCAATTCTTAGTCCACAGCAGTCACAGATACTGCATAAAACCACTTGTATCTGACTGACATGCAGACAGTCAGTTGTTGTGACACTTCCACTCCCGATAATTGCCAGCTGCAAAAATGTGAATATATCCAAACATCTGGAACTTCAAATCCAGTCTTAGATCCCAGGCTGCAGCATTTGCATAGCATTATGAGTTCACACAGACATTCAAGAGTGTAAAAAATGGATTAAAGTAACAGGAATCTTAGTATATCTGACTGCTTCTGCATTGCAAATAAATACTGCTGGAATCCTTAGGCACATAATAATTCAAACCTTACCATAACTTCTCAGATAGTAGAAGATTTCTTACTGGCCATTGAACTTTCTCAGAGATTATAGCAATACATACTTATCATTCAATTCATCACTCTGTATGTTCCTTTGGTTATAATCTCAATGCATCTCAATTGATTCTTCTACCACAAACCGAATTTTGCATCCAAGGAATAACTTACTTTCTTGTATTGCATTAAGAATTTCTGAAAAGTCCACATCTGTCTTCTGTATATCTGGTTTTATCCATATTTGCGTTTCCAGCTGGTTAACCTGCAAATCCTCTCTTCCTTCTGAAGAAATTGAAGAGATTGATGGGGTTTGTGACAGGGCAGTAGAAAATCCAGCCAAAAGGCTTTGAGGTGAGGGAACATACACATTGAATAGAGCTACTTGATTCCCCCCACCCCCGGCAGAAGCAATTTTTCTTCAAACCAAGCAGCTTTAGATACAACATGGACTGACTCAAAGCTAAATAGAATGAAACAACAACATTCTCTGCTATCAGTAATGATCAGTCACCAATGGCAAGTCCCTCATTCAGAGGAACACGTGCCACCAAGCCATGAGCATCACCTCACCATACCATCTACAAAACTAACTCCAAAATGTGAAAACAGACAAGACCTGTTGTTACAAACGACACAGCACTACACGAACAACCAGGCTAAAATAAAACACACAAAGGATGAATTAAGTCTCGAGACAGAAAACAACTGTTTTGACAAAAAGAGCATGGATAGCATATTTCAGCCACAGGACACCATAAGTTCTCACATGCCAACCTGATGGCATGCTATGGTCTAGGAAGCACACCAGTACTGCAGTCATTTTTGAAGGGGGTCACACTTGTATGCAATGGTTGCTGTTTAAAAGCACTGCAGAACAAAACTGTCAGCTAGTGAGTCACTATTTTAAACCTATTTGCACATGTAAATAGGCACAAGATTTGCCAATTTCAGTGTTCTTTCAATATGAGCAAAGAAAGCAGAAAGTTGTGAAAACGTACCCTTTCCATGCAGAGAAAGATAGCTGCGTATCAAGAGTAGACAGGAAAAGGTACTGGGCAAACAGCCTTATTCTTCTGGCTACAGAGTGCTGGGATACAGCCAGAGAAAAAGAGGGAGCTACTGGGCATATGGCTGGTTTTTAAGGAGTGGCAACAAAACCTTTCACAAAGGCATCTGCTCGAGATGTGCTCTTCACAACCAAAAAGCCATGGTGGAAGAAGAAACCTTCAGGTCATTTAGTCCATTACTGTGCCTCACTAGAGGCTCTCACTCATGCTTTTGATGGAAGCATCCTTCTTTCTTTCTTCTACAGTCTTCCTGTAACAAGCTGGTCTTATTTTGAATTCCCTCCTATATTTTCCCCCTCCCCTCACCAAATGATTATCTCACCACTGCCTTGATGAGAGCCATGAATTACATTCCTGGACACAAAATCGCTTAACACTATTTTAGAGATTCTTCTTCATTTTTTGGAAATAGAGATCTCGAAACGGATATACAAACACCAGCTTCAGCCTTTTTTATTTCCCAACGTTAAAATATTATAAATTCAAACCGTCTCATGCTTGCCCCAGCGTATTCTTTTGTTCCACAGCAAAACCCCACTGTTAACATCAGAGACAGCTCCCCTTGTAGATTCCTGAAAAGTGATCTGTCATAATAGCAGCAGGAGTCAGCACTTAATGGTGTAGAACAAAAAGAATTTCTTAAGTAAGACAGCTGATTATGCATATAACAGCAGCCTAAGGAAATATGCAGATGGCCTCAGAGGTGGAAGACTAGGATTAGCCCCAGAAGAGAGTTCTAGGGACCATGGAAAAATAGTGCAGCTGCTAGAAAAGACATATAAACAATAGGATGGAGGTAGAGAAGTAAGCAATGGACAGCAACTCAGTTAAGCAACTTTGCAAGTGCTATTATTCAGTTTCTTGTTAAATACTCAGCTACCACTTGTAACATAAACCATTACATATTTGCATCCCTAAATCCAACTTAAATACACCATTTCAACCCTAGTTTGAGCAAAATAATGACAATAGCACAAATATAAAATACCCTCTCTCCCCCAAACCCTCCATCCTAGTTTACACCCAAATCATTGCTCCTCAGAACATATGAAGGTAGCAGGATCCCTGCAGCATCTCCAACAAAGCTGAACTGGGCTAGGGAGAAAGGAAGTGACGGTCAGCCAGCAATGAAGGTCCTGAAGCACTGGTATCTGATGGACTATCTAACCACAGGCCTGTTAATTAAATGAAGCTGTTGGAGAATGTACATGTTCAATTTCAAAGCTACTTTTTAATTAATAAAAAGTACTGTTGAGAAAGTGATCATAAAATGTCCAGCCTAAGCCTGTCTGCTGTTCAGCCTATGAAGCCAAGACAAGTTTTGCTGCATTCAAATCTCCACTCCTGTATTTGGCCCATTTGCAGTACGGGGAATTTCCAGCAGTCCATACACAACAGCCTTACATACTCCTCTGATTCACAGTAGCCTTAGTATCTGGCCTCACTGCACAAGTACAAGATCTACAACATCCTCCAGTCTGACTTCACTTGAAGTTGTAGGCATAATCTTCTACCAATTATTTGTGATATAATATATAGCTAATCACAGACCTGCCTGCACTGAGAGAAGGGGAAAAAGAAATGTATCTGCCAACAACATAGCTTTTAAATAAGTGGTTGCAGAAATACTCTTCCGGTGATCTTCATTGTGTCAATAAACAGACTTGAATCAGGGCACACTTGCTTCTACCCTTCTCCATCTCCCTCAGCACCCACTTTGCAGGAGAGAGTGCTGCATTTTTTTGGCTGAAACAACCCCTATGTGATGGGTCATGGACTAGCCAAACTAATGATTGCTGATTCATTGGTGGACAGAGGTTTTAGCCTAGCAGCTCTTTGGAAAAAACCCCACAGTGTTCTCTCCCATATCCCAAGTACATTTTCTTTATCTTACTACACATCTCTGATACCACAAACCAAGATAGTATCTGGTGTCACTGTTGCTACTGATGGATTACTAGCCTGGCTTTAGCATTTCCTTCTTGCTTTAGCAGCTGCTGATTTATGTTCTATCAGTGACATGTCCCACTGAGTAAACCCAAAGCAATATTGACTGCGAGGTTGGGAGGGAAAGAACATCTTTCCATAGAAACATGAGAAATAAATAAAATCAAATAAAAGTGAAGTGAATATTAGGTTTATTAATTTTTATGTGATTTTATTAAAAGATCAGTCAGGTTTTCTCAACTTACTGGGACGTTTTAGTTCAACTGAAGTAATTTTAAATTAGCTCATAGCATTCACTCTTATTTACTCATTGATGCATAAAACGGCATATTTCCCCCTTTATTTGCTTTGAAGGGTGTCTACTAATCAGTAAAGGAAAACAAGATTTCAAAAAGGCATTTCACTTTCAGAGGCTGAATGAAATGGCTTGTTCTAAACCAGAATTTTAACATACCTCTAAATATTAAAATGATTGCATTTATCAGAGAAACAAATTATGTAGCAAGGTAGTTAATGTGGAACTAGTGTTAAACAGGGTAATTCCCACTATAGTGAAAGAGACTGCGTCTGCTTAAAATTAAGAACACACTCAGGTTCTTGCTGGATGAGACCCTGTTACATGCATCTGGTGTTTAGGCAGTTATCACAATCAGGTTTTTAGACATGAACTTTAGAAGCCGAAGCCTATTTTCTTGCACAGTAAACACATGGAGCCAGATTTTTGAAATCCTGCACATTTTTATACGTGTTGCAATGTGCAAATCATATTTATAGATAGATAACCTCACACTGTGGTCTGAACTTGAGCATGAGCACTTGGGTGCACATAAAAATGCAGTTTCACTATTTGGCACCCAAATAAAGAATATAAAATTAAGCTGATGGAACAAGTGCTGTTATTTCTCAATACACAATAAAGGGCTCCTGTTTACTCCACATTTTTGAATGGATGTATAAGAACAGAACTGATCTTTGTGATTCACTGCAGCAGCCAGGACTTCTTGAAGAGTTTTACCACTTAGGTTCTGCTTGTTGGTCAGAATAGAAACACTTGACTCAGTTGCTTTCTGAAAGCACAGCCCTCATTTCCCTTTGCCCTCCCTCATTTTCAATTAACTCAGCAAGTGAAAACGAATGTTTTGTCTACAGTGCTAGAAGTTTCTGTAGAGAAAAATTTACAGCTTAAAATGACCTTCTGGAAAAGGCAGCACCAACAACTTCTATCAACACAGTGAGTTGATTTTTTATTTAAAAGAAAATAAAAAATAAATCATTTTGGCAGCAAACATGCACTTTCACAATGGCTGCATGAACATTAAATAGGAGTAGCAACTAACTAGTAAGCTATTCAGGCAGATGCTCCTATCCCAGGGCCATCTACCTCTAACAGGGCAGTACTTAGCAAGAGCAAATATAAATTCTCATATGAACAGGTTTGTTTTGCTACATTAAGTACTGCCTGCAGTTTCTACAGAAAAGTTGCTCCTTTTCACTAGAGCCTCTTCTTTAAAGCAAACAGAAGGCAGCTGCACATGGTAGCCTTTTCACTAAAGGCAAACTCAGGTCAGCGTGGGACAAAGGGTCACCCTTGTGGGTAAATTTTCTATTGGCTTCTCACTGTGACTGCTAGACAGGTCATTTACAACAAAAGCACAGTTTCAAATGAGCAATGCTTAAAGCATTACCTATACATGTTAGTTAGGGTTATGCTCTCATGTGAAATCCATAGCTGTAACTAATCTCAATTTTGATATTTCTCATTTCTGTGACAGGAAGGAAACAAAATGTACACCATAGTGGATTTTTTTGGCATCCATCCCATGATTACATTGGACAACACACTTCAATGGATGAAAAACATATTGGTTCAGTTACTGCACCAGAAAAAAAGAAGCTATTCTCTGAGTCATAAAATGTATGCAAATACATGTATCAAAACACACAAGTCTTCCTAGCAAGATAAAGTTGGTCTGAAAGCAGTGGCTCAGAGGTAGCTAATTATGAATCATTAGGTGGAAAGCTGACATGTTTCATAGCAAGTCTTTTAGAGCTGGTTTTGTTACATTGGTCAGAGAATCTCAGATTGTTTTCTGTAAGAAATCTTGATTGTAATCTGTTTTGTTCCTCACTAACCAATGAAGTATAGTAATAATATTTCTGCCTAAGCAATTTTCTCTCCTGCAGCATAAACTGGACGCCAGTGTTACTTTGTGCATCAACCTTATTGCAGTGATTATATTAGATATAAATTCCTATATTAAAATTATT